TTTCATTGAACACCCGAATACACACCAGTCATAGAAATGTTAACCAAGTATAAGGAGCGTATAAGATGGTAGAAGAAATAATGTTCAGGACCATGATGGAAAATTCTCATAACTACACATCTTTAACTGAAAGCGTTTGTGTAAAGTATCATTAAAATGTACTGAATTGAATCCATTTTGTGAGTACTTTTAGACTGTAAACAATGGTTGCTATGGGTGTTTCTATGTTGAAATATAGCTAGAAGTGTTCAGATTTCTTAATTTAAACGTAAATTCAGGAGTAATTAGAGGAAAATCGTTTAAAAATACGATTTACAAATGGACAGGGATGTTGAATCTTCATGTTCCAAAAAAATGGTTTTCTGGAGAAAAATTCATATCTGAGAGTATAAGACCCCCTTAACCACCCGAGAATCGTTGGTTTTCCAGCTCTTGCTTGCCATTTTTGCCCCGTCTCGATCCGTAACCGATTATCTTGGCCACAGGATTTGAATTTCGTGATAAAGTCGCCTCCAACCGTCGAGAGGCACGGGACATTTTTTGAGGCGGTTGGAGGCGACTTTGTCACGATGGTCTGGTCGCTAAGCTACAATACCATTTTTGTGGAATTTACGGAGCTTTGATTGCGGGCCGTCGGGCCAGTGGGTTGCCTGCCTTTCGTTTCTGAGTTAGGGGAAGCAAATCACCAGAAAGTAAAACTCGCCAAAATGGCTCTAAACCACTATAAAATGTCTAAGCAAGCAACCGGAACGATGATCCTGCTGGTATACGTTGGATCAATAGTGATCTAATCGGCTTCACATATGAAATGAAGAATACAAAAGCAGAAACCGACACAACGTAGGATCATTTTTGGAAGGTGTACTATATTTCGGCTGGCCAAACCAGCCTTCTTCAGGTACAATGAGAATTTTACATTGGGACGTGTTTTTAGGTAGCCGATATTTTCGTAATACCGGAAATACGTAAAACTAATTTACATTGCAAATTTAAGATAAGCATACGGTAAAATAAAATAACATAATAAAAGAAGATAATAAAAGGAAACAAATGGAAACAATTAATTGTAACGCAATCGCCAACAGCATAATGTCACGTATCGATCGTATTCAACGACTTCTGGGCCGAATGTGGTATCGCCAGTATTCCGTTAGAGATAAACTTTTTATGACATAAATCTGTGTCGCGATAAAAGCCGCTCCTACTAACAGGTCTGCATGTTCTCGCCAAACAGACCAGCAAAATGCTGTATTTGCTTGGCAATCTGGGTCTTATCTTTACCGCCATTATCACCAGCACATTCATCAGGATCGTCACAGGAAGGCTTGGGACGTTCAGGATTATTGCCATCATGGTGAAGGCAATCTTTTCCACTTGGTACTCCTGCTTCCAAACCGTTTTGTTCATAGGACATATTAAAACAAAGGATCCCGCTTTGGATTCAGTTACGTTCATGGCGAGTTTTCGGAGTTCAGCTTGCGGACGCTTATGCCTAACGGTTCGCAGCTTCGGAAACTAATATGAGCGGAAACAATCAAAATCACACAAACTTCATTTAGGCAGTAACACTTCATCAAGCAATATTTCACGGAGTATAAATTTACACTTCGCAAACTAACGTGAAGTACCATTTCGCTAAGACTGCAAACAGGCTCCGACGAGCGGTGAAAAGAGAATACATCATATACCATCGCTTTGCTCTCCGAATTCTTCAGTTTTGCGCTTGCCGGCTCGCTTCACTCGCCGAATTTTTTTCCGTCCTTGTGGGGCGCTTATTCGCAGGCTACATTTCGCCAAACACCTCAAATGACCATTTAGTACCAAGCTGTATTTCTCAACGTAGAGAGTAACGTACATTTCCCAAACGTTCTCAAGTGCGATTTGTTAGAGTGACAAATACAATTTCGTAAACAGCGAATCAAAATTTTGTTAACTATCTTGAAGTAGCATTTCCGTAGTGCTAAACTTTGAAACACAAACAAAACACTGAAACAAATGTTACTAATTGTTATTCGTCATCAATAGTTAGGTTAAAATATGTTTTTTTATTCGCGTTTCGTCATTGAAAATTGCAGTCGTCGACTGATTTTCTGGTTGATTCGAAAAGGAATCCAATTTCCAATGTAAGAAAAAATATTTTGCCGTAAAGGGTAGTACTGTTAATTTAAAGTAACTTAGAAACGTCGACGAAGTTCAGATATTATGAGACAAAACTTTGACACTTAAAGTTGGTTTTATTTTTCTTTCGATTCATAGACATGAACACCATCTTGTTTTACTCTTCTCATTTCACCTGAAATCCATCTTACATGGTGCAGGATTTGCAATTAATCTTTGCGTCGTCTGGAAGAAAAACGAAACGAAACAAACCTCGCTTTGTTTTTTAATTTACTTCTCTCCTTCAACGCCTCTCCTTCTCTCCTTAAATTTTCGAAAACTTAAGGTGGCTCTGAACCCTACCTACAGAATCTTTTAAACTTTGCCAAAAGTTGCGCCTTATCATGCTTATCAAAAGTTGATAATATAAAAGAATTTCACCGTGCCGTTTTTGACTTGTAAGCCCCTAAAGCTGTAATTAAGGGCGTGTTTAGGAGGTCATATTGTTGCTATGGTAACCTATTGTGTCACGAAAATGATAACAACGTGTTCATCAATGATTGGGCAGTTTTTTCATACCATGATTAAAGCATCAAATGATAAAGAGTGGTTTTAACGACCCATCAAAATCTAAGTGCTGGAAACTGTTTTGAGCCACCTTAAATACCTAAATGACAGATTTCCCTACCCTTTCATATACCTCAACTTGTAAAACCCCTGCCCTTTTATATACCTGAAGCCCGAAAAAGGTATCCCTTTCGAGTGGTGCCTCCCCGTAGAGGCCATTATGGGGAAAACCTCCACCCCCCCCCCACCGGCTCTTGGGCGGGGCAAAGCTCGTTTCGGCCACGATCGCAAGTCAAGAAAATGAATTTCGATTAGTCATTGTTATCTAGATCTGTTATTTGCAACAAGAATCAAAGGGAAAGGGGTTTAAAAAAGCTATTCAAACAGAACTTGAGACAATCCCATTGGTTCGTTTATGTTAGACTGAAACAGGTTAAGTGAAGAGCGTCAGGTGCCTTGTATTGATATGCTTCCTGTTAATGCTCGTTTGATAATAGTCAAGTAAGGTTTACTCACAGAGAACAGGCCGAGACCAAGTTGAAATCAGTACAGCCCTAACATGCACTTGAGAAGAAAGTCCATTGTGAAACGTTTAATTTACTTGGAGCTAAATTTTACGATTAGTGATCTGTTCGATAAATGAGCATTTAATCTTTCAGTAGACTCATATTTGGTGACAAGATTGTGTGGTGTGTCGCAAAAGAAAAGCTTAGCAAATGGGCATATGTTATTATAAATTATCAGGGAGTGTTTTGTTCCCTTTACTACCTGAATCGTGGATATTAGAGTACAAATGAAACGCAAAAGATATAAATGAAAAACAAGTACAGTTGTCTCACAGTTTGCTATTCTGAAAACCGGCCTAAATTAGTCTTCTGTTATCGCCTTCGTCCTTTTGATCTCAGCTCGCGATAGCGACAAACGTACCTCACAATCAGGATTTCGAGAAAGAAAAATGTTTTGTAGCTAATTTCTCGTTCTTTTTGTGTGAATGTCCAGGAGAGAGTATTTCTTTAAAAGAACTGTTCTTGGTGTCTAATCTCTTAATAGTTATTAGACATTTTGCAGTAAAAGACCAGAAGTCTTGTCGAAAATCAACTTTTTGACCACAGCCTATCCAAACAATATCCAAGCTAATGAGAGAATGTTGAGTGAGTCAACCTCCCGCTCGTTTGAAGGCTTTGAAAGTTCAGAAGACATTGACCAAATTTTGGCCTATGGATTTTTGCGAACTACAAAAAGAATGCCCTGACTTTAGTGTTACAATAACCTGTATAAAAATCTGATAGAGTGTGTGAAAGTCGTAGGGCTTCTGGGTTGTTCCATTTATACGAGTCGGACAATCGAGTACTGTAATATCAATCTCCCCTGACGTACTTTTCTCTAATGTCTAAAAGAAACAATAATACGCACAGCTTTCCGGAACAAGTCAGATCTATTTTGAGAATATGAAAATTGTTTAACCAGTTGGTTTAATTTTTTTTTTTTTTTTTTCATGTTGGCATACTTCGAGTTTTGTCTGAAAATTAGAATATTCTGCCTCTGCCATCTCTGTTTTTTTTAACTTTATTGTCTCTTCTACTTCTCCTTTGGTTTCGCCAGATGACTCCTCTGTAATTTCCATCCGCCATTCGTTCGTTCGTTCGCAAGTGCCTCCCGCATTCGTGCTTTCCTTTGTTTGTTTGTTTGTTTGTTTAATTTATACTTCTTAACTATTATCTTAGTCCTTTAAAACATCTGGTTGGTTTTGCTCAGAGACTGCTTCGTTCTCAGAATGACACACAATCTATTTTACGTAGTTAACTCCTGTCGTTTTAATATCACTTCTTTTTTCCTCTCTGTAGGAGCCGCTAGTTTGCTATCACGTGACGCAGCTTGAGCAAAATTGATGCATGCCCCTCGATCTCCAACTCTGTTGATTAGAAACCGAGAGGCTCGTTTTCGTAATTTCGTCTTGCGATATCGTGTGACTGAGTTTCTAAGCTTAAAGAGAACTTATCTTCTGCTTTCATCAGCTGTCTAAATTTTGAGGAATAAAAAAACTTTGCGTGGGATCCTAGGTGTGCAATCGCGGTCTAATATATATCTGTATTGATTTCTGTAATAAGGCATTTGATTGGTTAATTTTATTTGCTGCCCCCCTCAGCTGTCTTGTCGTGCAATAAATTGTTACTTCCCTTTAGCCGATGTAAAATTGTGTTCGCCCCCCTTCAAAGTGTAAGGCAACTTGAAACTTTGCAAATCTCCGGAAAATCTCGTTGAATTTGTCGGAAATCGTCGCCCGGGAATAATCAATAGCCATTCGCTGCATCAAGTCGAGGCTGGAGACAGACTTCACAAATATATCTCAGATCGAAGAGTGGGGTTGGGAGGCGAAACTAAAGCAAGCGATGTATAGCTCTCGGACAGCCTTTCTCGTCGTCTCTGTCCTATTTCAGGTGGCTAAATGTTCTTTAGGTATGCTATGGTTATGCATTATTGACATTCAGTGAAAGCTTCTGGCAATATTTCATCAATTTGATTTGTTTTATTGCGTTTTTGCCACTAGATATTCGCATTCCTCTGTGAGTTTGTCTCTGCGCGCGGCCTTCAGTTTACCAATATCAGCTTTTCTAAAATGTGATTAAAGATTCGGAACAATATGATTTCAAACATCGATGGACAGAACAAGATGAAAATTAGCGAAATAAGTTTTGCAGTGTGTGCAAAATGTGCTTACGTCGCAATGTTTTCAGGTGTGTGCAGCAGACGGAATTTCAGACAAGCTAAATTCCCCCGAATTTGAGATGTTGCGCGATAAATTCGCGCTCACATTTTATTGTCAACGCTACCAGGTTAACTGTGTGTAGTATTGGATTTATTATATTTAGTTGTTGTAGCTTATATTTACGCTATTTCCTCTGATTGGCGAGGACCGAGTGGAAATGTGAAAAATTTTGTAAATTTGACAAGGTTTAACATCTTACATTTTAACTTTTATACTGCATCTTGGTTTCTGCATTCTGTGCATTTATTTTCTGAAAGTTGCAGAGTAGCGTCACTGTTATTCATTGTTGAAATATAGCTCATTGTGTGTAGTTTGTTGATGCCTCGAACCGTCAACTGGGTCTCCAAATTCGTCAGTGATCATGTTGTGTTTTTATTTACGCTCGCAGGCTAATTACTTATTCCTTTGCGTGCGTTGAGCCTTCTCTTTGATGCATATTTTCTTTGCTTTGGTTAAGTAATGCGTGTCTGCTAAGAATGTTTGGTCTTTCTTTAGCAAATAAGAAAAGTTCATCTGTTGTGTTTGATTTTTCTCCCGCTATGCCAGTCAAAAGTGACTGCCATGAATAATAAATGACAGAAAAAAATGTAGCAATTTCTGAGTCTGAAGCTTCTATAGGGGTTGTTAAATCAATGTACACTTTTTCTGCTGTTTTTGCTGAAGTTAAATCTTTTCTGGTGTTAATTAATAACTGCGTGGATCAGATCTAGTAACAAATAATGGCTTAACCAATATGAATAAAAGTCATTTCTGTGGTACTGCTCTAAACAGATAACACTTCTTGTTTACCAAATCCTATTTGCAATATGCTGAGGAGGAAAAGTTCATCCTGTTTCTAGAGAATCTTCATACTTCAGAAACCGTTTGAAAATTTCATTGTTCACTTCAGATCATGTTGTTTTTACATGGTTGAGGTACATGTATTGTTTTGAGTGCTGAAATTCTCTATTTGGTTTTATAATAGCTATAAATTGTTTTTCTTTCCTGTTTGAGTTATGTTTGTGTTACTTCTTTTCATCACCACAAAGGCAGATTTATGCCATAATAAATAACGGACCACGCAAATCTAGATTCTGGGAGCACCTTATACACATAATATTGAAAAATCAGAGTGCTCACCAATATACCTGACGTTCATGACATTTTTATGACATCTTTTTATGCAAATTCTGGTGCGTAATTGAGATTTTATTAGCCTTGGGCAAGTGAGCTGGGGGAGGTGTCTGTATATTGTAATTAAAACCTCTAAATACTTCAAAGGTTATTGATGGTTTTGTCATTCCTTGTTTTAACTTTTTTTTCTGGAGTGCCTTGTGACTCATTAACCCACAGAATTGCTTGCTACTGCCAATCAGTATCATTGTGGGTGTGTGTTCATTGTAGTTTGATCAACATCTAACATGTGACAGCGTTGCTTACCAGTTGTTTCATACAGGGCAACTGTCTACACTTAGTATGCAAACTCTACTTCTATTTTGCAAGGTGTCCATTAAAACTACTGCCATGTGATGTACATGTAGTTATTTCAGCCTTAAATACTTTTCTCCTGACTAAAAACTCTACTTAGTCAACGGTAACAGGAATTTAATGTACAAAAGGTCATTATCAATATTTTATCTTTTGGAATAACAGTCAAATGTGTTCAGTCTTTTTTTTCTGGTCTCCTACTGTTTCTGTTGTAAAGATCCTGGCTTGTGCTTTTTAATTATACAACCCGTAGTCATTTCAGCAATATTTGCTATTGAACTCTTAAACTTAATTTCATCCCAAACAGCATTATTTCAAACGCTGTCTGTCTCTCTTTTGTTATTATAATCCAGCAAATATTAGACAAAAGCATAGCAAATATCTTGTTGGATACATCTTAGCTGCCACAGTTGAAATATACATGCCTCATCGCCGCAGATTGAATAAATAGTTGTTCCCATGTATAGTTTGAATATGTATACTTCTCACCATAATTTGAATATATTTGTTTGTTACCACAGTTTGAAACTATACCTTCGTGCTGAAGTTTGAATATACTCATTTGTTTCTGCAGTTTGAATGATATATTTTGTTACTACAGTTTAGATATTTTCATTTGTTCTACAACAGTTTGTATGACAGTACAGTATATGGTACATGTACATGTCTTTCTTTCAAATGTTCTTTAAAAACTGTGCACAGTTATGTACAAGATGTTGGATTTTAGTTATGGATGTTGCACAAACCTGTAATAAATTAGTTTTGTTCTAGTCTTTGTTGAGACACATAATAAATTATTTATACAATAATTTGTAATGGGCAGCACAGAGGTTCATAGTTGAAAGTTTTTTGTAGTGATAAAATATTGAAGAGGGTACGTCTTTAAATTGCCAAGGAACAGCTGGTTTTGTTCAGTTTCCAATGAGCCGTGGATTCCTTTGTTGTAGTAAGAGTTAACGCTTGTGTTAATGGAAATAACTGAACTATTTTGTGGTTTGTAGGTCATTCCAATTTCTGTGGATCAACCTCCTGTGCTCTAGAGTTAAAGATGAAATTTTTGGAATGTTTTAGAATGAAAGATAAAGTTTGTGAATAATAGAACTTGTCTATGTCATTTCAGAATCCCGGAAATAGACAATAAAGATTAACAACACAAATACTTACAGCCAAGTTGCTGGGTATCCACATGTATTTTGGCAGAAAACACCAATGTCTGTTTCATGACAAGCATAATCATGGTTTACAGCTTGTGGTTTCTGGTTGATTCAGCTTGGCCTTTGACTGTCGTATTAGCATCTGTATGCTAATAATCCTCTTGTTTTGACTGTTTTGGCAGTATGAAGTAAAAAGAACACAGGTTTAACCTTTGTCCTGTAGTTTCACAGGTGTGGTTAGGAATGGCAAAACACTCTTTTTGTACATCTATACAACATAACCAGACGTGTAGGCATATTGAACCAACTGTAAAAACTGGAAATGTACATATTAGACATCTACAAAACTAGCAGCAATCAAAGATTATAAGGGTGCGTTCGATGCCTGAAGTCACTTTAAAACCTTGAATGATTTTATTACCTGACTTTCAACTCCTGTGTATTGTTAAAATCAACATTTTTATATCAACAACTGAAGTTTTATAGACAGATTTAACATAATGACAATGCCTAGTATTTTCCTGTCTTTATGGTAAGCACTTACAAGTCCAGTCTATAATGACGATTTGTTGATACGTTGCGTGACAGTGCCAGTCTCCGTAGACTTGCCAGTTTTAATAGCACTAAAATGTTTACATTTGCCTTCAAACTTCATGCTTAGCATTTTCGCATTTACTGGTAATGTTTAAGCACAAAAGCTAATATGTAAAAGTATATTTTTTTTCATACAATAATGTACAGTATTTAGTGTTTCCGCCAGAGCACGTCATTGCGGGAATCCCGCGTTACAATCAGAGATGGCCCCCAGAAAAACGAAATAAGGGCCAATTTGGCCCTTTCCTTTTACAAGACTGCAGGCTTAACACAGGCATAATATTTTAAAAGCCATCCCGGGGCTCAAAATTGTGATTGATATGGTCGCCAATGCAACAAGCAGTTCATCCTTGGCGATCAAAAAGTCTGGTTTAGTCGCCATATTACGGTGTAATGGCAACTACACCTCTCTGTGTTGACGATCAATAATGGTTATTTTGTCACACATTATGTCGCTCTAGAAAAATCATATTGAAAGATCTTTGCTTCTAAAACATTCAACATAGGAAAAGAA